AGCGTAACCATCCTTACTAGAAGATTAGCTAACTTTCGAGCCTCATCACAACGAAGTCGTTGTAGTATAGTGGTGAGTATACCCGCCTGTCACGCGGGTGACCCGGGTTCGATCCCCGGCAACGGCGTTATCTTTTATCTTTTAATTTTTTTTGCTTTATTGGATTTGTGCCAAAACGGCGTCGTGATGCTTAATTTGAGTTTGAGGTCAAGCAATCCATAATTCTTCTGTACAAAATGTTCTGGTAACAGCAGCAAAGGCTGTCCTCTGCCTTCCTCCGCTTAGCCGGTGGCGGCGTTGGCAGCGCTTCCATTCGCCCAAGAGATTGCCATTTTCAGCTTACTTTTCATAAATAATTAGAAAATTTCCTAAACCAAATTTGGCCCCAGTTTTGTTTATGCCTGCTTAGTTAAACTTTGTGATAATGAGAGTATCTGCTGCATTTTCTACCACCTCCGCAGCCGCCGCTCTCCGCCTCCTCTTCTCCTCTTGTGACCACCCTAAAACCCTTATCCCATTTTATTCTTGGACAAGGCATCCTTCTACTCTTACCCAATTTACCCCAAGATTAAGAATGGTGCATAATACTCATAATAATGACCTATCCCCTTCCTCAGTCTCCGCCGCAGCCTCTTTTTCCTCTTCTGCAGCAGCGTCAGCGTCAGCCGCGGCGCCTACTGATAAGCCGAAAACTCAGACCTGGCTTATCGTAGGGCTCGGTAACCCGGGGAAGCGGTACAATGGGACCCGCCATAACGTCCGTACTTTCTCCTCCCTTCTTCTTCATAGTCGTTTAAAGTAATTTTATTGGAAAATCTTGATTAATAAAAGTTTTTTTATTGATAGGTGGGTTTTGAGATGGTGGATTATATTGCTCAAGCAGAGGGCATTTCAATGGGTAGTATTTCCTTCAAGGCCCTGTTTGGAAAAGGTTTATTTTTTTTTGTTCTTTTACTTTTGCTACTGTTGACGCTTGAATCTTGAGGTAGATGTTGAATGGACATTTTGTTGAGGTTAAAAAAAAGGAAAGATTTAAACTTTGTTGATTTCTGGGACATTTTTTCCCCTTTTTTGGGTAATGGATAATTGTTGAAGTTGTATTGAATTTCCATTGTAGGTCAAATTGCAAACGTGCCTGTGATGCTAGCTAAACCACAGACTTTCATGAATGCAAGTGGTGAGTCTGTAAGTTTGTTTCCTCTGCTCTCACAATTTTTCTTTGCTATGCACTGCATGATGCTAACTAATGTCTGTAGCAATGGTTAACTTGTTTCTTGTTCCTCGACTCTGTAATAGGTTGGGGCAATTGCTTCGTATTATAGGATCCCATTGGCGCAAGTCCTAGTGGTAATTATGTGTATTTTGATTAAAAGCCAATTAATAACTTTCTTTCAATCTGCTTTAAAAAAAAAAGAGAAAAAAAAAAGTTCCTTCCAATCTTGGTTGGCTTAAGAGCCTAAAGATTTTATGCTTTGTAGATTTTTGATGATATGGATCTTCCATTTGCAAAGCTGCGGTTACTGCCAAAGGGTGGTCATGGAGGGCATAACGGGTACATACCAGTCGGAACATTAGCTTTTGTATTGCTTCCATTCAACATCTACTGGTTTTTATCCCATTGCGTCTTCCCCCTGCTGTAAAGTTAAATTATGATTTAACAATGGCAAAATTGATATAATTATACTGTTTAAGCAAGTGCATAGACATATATGTAGGCAGATATCTAAATTACCAATTCAGGGAAATTTAGTGAGTTAAAACTCTTAGTAGACCAATAAATGCAATCATGCATCTAAGCAAAAGGATCTGATGTTGACTTAGAAATGCTTGTCACTGCTAAAGATTTTAGTTATGTTGTGGATTGGAGATTAGCTCTGATAATTGTTTCTTGAAAGACGGAGAGCAGATAACTTTCTGCAATGTGACAAAGCTCTCTTGGTTCTCTGCCAATTTTTTTTTTTTTATTTGTAAGCAACATTAGATGATTAATGCTGAACAAAATCTGTCTTCTTTATATGGATATTAAGCCCTTCTTGTGCTTTTATAAGGAAGACAGACTAAAAGAATTTGGGTTATGATGACATAATGTCACTCATAATCCATTAAGGTTTATGTAAGTTTTCTGTAAAAGCTTTAAAAATTATGTACTTCGTGTCTTTGGCTAACTGAAGATCTCAATTCACTAGTGGTCTGCCAATGGTTGCCAAGAGCAAGGGCCATCTAAAAATGACACCTTCGTTTCTCAAGCATATCGACAAGTTTTGTCTCAAAAGAATATATTTTTCTGGTTTTGCAAAGGAAGATTGATGTCATTTTCTTTTCAGGATGAAGAATATTATTAATCACTTTAAAGGTAGCCGGGACTTTCCTCGTCTAAGGATTGGTACATCCTGAACTCATTTTGCTTTCTTGTGAAAGTGTCTCTTCAGGTCCTTGTCATTTACCAATTTCATGAAATACATGTAGGCATTGGCCGGCCCCCCGGGAAAATGGATCCCATGAATTTCGTTATGCGCCCATTCACCAAACAAGAACGTGAAGAGGTAATATTCAAGTTTAATACACTGTTGAACGTCATATAATCAAGGGATAATGGTTAATCAAAAGAAGGGAGTTATAGTGAAGATTATGTAAGAGGTTAACAATTGCTTGTTCCCTTTCTCCAGTTGAATTTTACGTTTCAGACTGGCTTAGAAGCAGTGCGAATTCTTTTGCTCGAGGGAATCAATAGAAGTGCTACTTTTGTTAATAGTGCCAAGTCATTGGAACAGCTTCAGTAACTAGCTGGTTTCCTACGTTCTTTTTTGAAGTGGTAACAACGTCATGCAAGTTTGCAAGTGGAGGAAGCTCTGGAAAGTGCAGAAATCCAGCTAGTATGGAACTTCGTTGGAGAACTATAATAGAAGGCTATTCGAGACCCAAAGGCGATTTCTTGTTCTTTTCCCTTTAATATCATTCTTACATCTTAATTCCTTGAGGGAGTATGTATACGTTGGTTAAATGACAATTGATCTTACAGCTATCTTACTTTTTGGTCTCATTGATGTAGTTTAGCTTCTGTTGGTTCTAAATGATTCAGGAATTCCCGCCTTCTGACTTAGCAGCAAACCCTCAAAGTTGAAATTCAGCAAAAAATTGTTTGGACAAATAATAATTAACTTAGCCCCTAACTTACACTAAAAGAGACCTCCTACTTACACTTAAAAAAAAAAGGGAAAGAAAAAGCCTTAACCACTAACCAAATTTAGAAAGCAAACTGTATGTCTAAAATATTATATGGATTGGCCTTTTTTTAAAAACTAGTTTTTCAAATACAATGCTACAATAATACACAATAATTTAAAAAATATCTTATTCATACAATATATCAAATATTTCAAAAAATTTTTACTATAAAAATTTTTCATATACACTATTACAGTAAAATTTTTTAAAGTACTCTTCAAAAACAACTAATCCAAACCGAGCGATAGGTTTTTCTAAGAGATGCTCAATAAATGCTCGTTAATATACTTAAATTTTATCCAATCCATCATTTATATACACACCGTTGATTGTTACCTTCCTTATATTTATGTACTTTTTAAATTAATTTTACATTTTCAAAAATCTAAAACATGAAGTACATTTTATAGCGTAGCGTGTCCAATGAACACCTATTAGACAGACCAAACATTCCATTAGATAAACTAAAATTTTATTAGCGATATTAAGAATATTCGCTGATGTAGACTTACTTTTAAAATCGCCCTGATAAACTAATATAATTTCATTGTGAAATATTAAGAAATTAAACCATAACCATATACTCCCCTCTGTCCCACTTTGATAGTTTTAATTTTTTTCACACAATTTAGTTAACTTTATGGAAATAGTAAATCTAGCCTACTATTTTTTTAATATACCCTCACATTAATATTAGTAGTATAACCAACCATTATATCTTTACATTAATTACAATAACAATATTGATGAAAAGTTACACCATTCAAGGCAATGAATCAGTGCAATTAATGAATAAGATAGGTTATATCACTAATAATAAAATACATCAAATAATGGTAAAAGGAAAAAAAAAGGCCTTGGAAAAAGAGAATTTGAAAAGTTAAACTTGTATTACCTTACAAAAAATTCATTGAACTCGGCCATCTTGGACTCTTCAAATTGGAATTGTTTCATATTTTAACCAATCATCATTTTGGTTTTATTTATCGATCCGAGAGCGGAGGGATGGTAGAAGCAGCCATCTTTGGACACTTCGAAGTGCAACAATGCATAAACGTATTATCAAAAAAAAAAAAAAACAATGCATAAACGTCATCCCACATCGAAACACATAGCAGAAGGCAGGGCTTGCGTGAGATATTAAGTAAGCGGGGTGGCAACGTTGAAACATACTTACCTGGACGGGGTCAATGGGCGATCAACAAGGCCCATGGCCTAGGTTGGTGACCTCCATTGCACTCGGGAGGGGTGCCCGCCTAAGGTCAGCCCAAGTTGGTTGAGCCTACGTCATAATTTGTGATAGTGGGGGCCTGCGTTCGCGCGGCCCCTGCCCAATATTAGTCTCTCAAATCTTTTTTTTTTTTTTTTTCTTGTTGGTTTTAGAGACTTGGTCTGTCAAATCTTATTATACAATTAGTACGTCTTTGGCCTAGTGCCTCTAGTATTTTATTATTTGAAATCCCTAATTAAATTAGCTGTGTGTCAGGCTCTAATACCTTCAAATGTTATTTAAGCAAATTAAAAGAAAGCAGCTTGTGTTAGTTTGGGAGGTTAACAATTGAAATACTTCCTCTAATTTGATTCCAGTATCTGGTTTTCTATTAACAAAATTATGAATTTTATGTCAATTTTCTTTTAACCCTGACCTTAAACAAATGATGAGAATAAAGTATGAGCATGCAACATAATGGGCAGCTTCACAGATATAAAATCCAAGGTCAGTTCTTCTGTCACTGTAAACGAGTCGAGTCGAACTGAATTCAAGATTTAACTCGAGCAGTTCAATTCGTTTGCAATCCCAATCTTGCTTCTAATTCAATTAAATACTAGTAGTACATCTCAAGGTCATTTGGCACCATAGAGTAATAAAAGCTGCCTGCCTTGTCCATATGATTTCACCGGGGCAAAACAATATCAAACAATGATAAATGATCAAGAACCCATACGACATCATCTTAATCGAAGAAAATGACACCTGGACTGAAAAATATATGGTTGAAATACATACTACAATACTCAATATGTCCAGCACAGTATTCAAGTATGTGCTCTCATGGGTTGGCATCACCAAAAGGAAAGCAGCATTCAGGTACCAATTTGTGCTCATCTGAAGCAAGTCTAGAGTACAAACCTCTGTTGCGAGGCATCATATTTCCATTTGAAAGTAATCCTGGAAGTCCTGCAGCGAGAACTTGAGGCTTGATCCTTTGAATTTTCAACTGCTTCAGATGTGCCCACCTCGCAACGGATTAGCTGGTTTTCTGGATCTGCGTTACTGCTAAGTCCCTCCAGCTTTTCCAATGCCAACTGAGGTAAGACAATGACCAAAACGGGTACATTTTGGATAAAATTCCTAGACAGTCAACCAGTAGTGTATAAAATCTTTAAGATAAGAAAACCTGACCTTGCTCAGTTTGTCATGAATTATCATTCCCTGAACAAGAATTAACATCTATGTTAAGAAGAATACTTTGGAAAGAACGAGAAGTCTGGCAATTATAGACCCCAAAAAAAAAAAATGAATGTACTAAATAATGGACAGAAAACCAGACCTCAATTTGCAGCTCATCGGTAATCTTGTTCTGCACAAGAATCAAAACAGAAATGTAAGCATGGAGAAGAGAGAAGAGGGGAGCCTATAATTCCAACATTTTAACGTTTAGAGAAAATCAAACAAAAAAAAAAAAATGCAGTTTGTTATCTCCAATTCATTTCAGAGATCCATTTCAGAGAAAGAATAGTTATATATGAAGGGGAGAAACAGAAAGATATCCAAAGAACCGTAACTAAGTGGTTAGAAAAGAAATGTAGTACCTGATGCTCAGGATAGACGATCAGCTTCAAATCTTCCCAATGCTTCAGCTTCTTAACAAAAGCCTTCAATGTCAAAAGCCACTCAACAGAGTGTGCTCCAAACACAAAGCTGAAGTGAACTTGGAGATGATGTGAGGCACTGATTGGAAGAAAAGGCTCGTCACAATTAACGCATTCCAATAACTCCAAGTTTGGAGCATCTATTTGAGCAAATGACAGGTTACTGCAGTCTTTAAAGACCAGCCTCTTAAGAGTCTGGCTCGAAATCTTGAACTTCCCATAGCTCATGCAGTCATGTAATTCTAATGTCTCAATGAACGGAAGCTGAGATAATACGGTTGATAAGACATCGATGCATGCGCTACTCTTTCCATTAAATATCACTTCCTTCAAGGCTGGATTACAAGTTGCCCAATCAATACTTTTAGGCCAGCCACTTTGGGGTGCACCAAAATAGAATTTCTGCAGATTAGCCGCATCCATTCTGATAATGTCAACAATAGCACAGTTCACACACTCAAAATACTCCAGTCGAGGTAAATTTGGGATAGAGAGGAGCTTGTCTATTTTGCAGGACCACATTTTCACACACTCAATCACGGGACATCCGCAGAGAAACCTTTCAAATAAAGATCTACCCACAAAACAAGAGTCACGGAAAGAAAGCCTCTGTAGCTGGGGAAGTTTAATCTCCAAACTACTCTCAAAAGCACAATAACTCAAGCTCAACACTTTTAAACAGCTAGCAAGTACAAGAAATTGAGGAACACTGTAATAAGACTGAGCAGAGCGACCGCTACTGCCATTATAAGAAGACCGAGCAGAGAGACCTCTAATGCGATTATAATGAGACCAAGCAGAGTGAGCACTAGTGCGATTTAAAGTGTCAACGCAAAGAAGAAGATCTTTAATTTTCTTCTTCAATACAAGAGAAATCCATCCATCTAGTCTTGGAGCCAACAGATTTATATCAGGGAAGTCTATATGTAGATCAACTCTGAGTACATTAGACTCCATTTCGAGGCATTCTCGAACGGATTCTTCTATCATAAACAGGAAATCGAGATGTTCGCGTTCAACTTGTTGACTAAACCTTTCATCAGGAAGACCATGTCCGAATAAATCTTCCGAATCCGACTTTTCGTAAGTAAAATGCAAGGTAATGTAGGAATAAATGGCGGAGATGCAATACCAAGCCTTGGACAGGATAGAGCTGCGAGCAACATCTCGAGCAGATAGAAACGAGCAAATATGATGGATCATCGATTCAGGCAACCGGGAGAAGTTGCCAAGGCTCACATCATCCAGAGTTGTTCTTGTTTGCACCTCGTTTCCTATCAAAAACCAGCAAAAATGATATATACATATTTCAACAATTAATACTAGGTCCAAGAAATAGGGTCACGTTTTAAGATTTCACAAGGTTCCTAGCGAGTACCTGATTCCATGATGGACAGATATCAATAGAAACTTCAGCCACTCAAACCTCCTGCATCAGTAAGAATAACTTTAAGATATAATTATAAGTGAAAAAAAATATGAATTAATTTTATACACATTAATAGTATATATACTATCCCGTTTCAATGTATGCTGTATATGCAAAACTTAGATTTTAAATTGAAATTAAGATTAGTTATCATGCATCAACGCGTGATAGTGTCAATGTATATATATAAAAAAAAAAAAAACAGTTCAACAAATAGATACTAATAAAAAAAGTGATTTAACATTTAATATGGAGAGAAAATTTCATATAGGAAAAAAAAATAGTGCCTTATCAATAAATCGTGTAAACTATAAATTAATATTGTGCAAGCATGTTATTTCATTTCATGCGTTCCGTCCAATATATGTTTCGGAAGTTAACAAAAAGTTATTTGATTACATCCTTTAGTTATTTTGACTGAAAAAAGAAAAGAAATTTAAAAAACAAAAATTAATTCTGTCCTTCATTTTGCGACAAACACCAAGGCCTCCGTTAACGGTTACTATTTGGGAAAAAAAAAAAGGTTCCGCGAGGGCAAAGTTGGCATATTAACAAGTTTAAACCAACGACTTTCATTCCCGCGAGTTTTCTTAGGAACGGCAAAATAAATGCATTTTATCGGTGTAGTTGCCGATCAAGGGACGACTTTGACTGACTTAAAATTAACGTACAAGAAGGGTTGACGTTGACTTGGGCCGGGGTTGATTCCATTCCATTCCATTCCATTCCCATGTGCCAAACACGTTTTTAAGTTCTAACTTCTTCTTGACTTTTGGTACTATTGTTACTGTGTATCCCATGAGTAGAGCAAGCATTTTCTTTGTCCAATCATCATATGGTTGGCCAAGAGAACGAAAAGAAGATACAGAAATGAATTTGGAGTTAATCAAGCGAAAAGATATTAACGATCCTTCATACCTGATTTTTAAAAATGAGTTTCGTAACGAGGGATGCTTATGAATGTACTTAAATCATACCTAATTTATCATATGCGTATATATATATATTTACAATTATTACTCGATCTTATATTTATATGCTTTCTATAGTTGATTTTACATTTTCAAAAAATTAAAACTTGAAAAACATTTTAACGAGCCTTCAGCGTATGCCTTTTTGGACAAATCCTTTCAAAAATTATGAATCAATCGTTCCTGGTTCTGATTTGGTGCCCAGCAGTTATTCTGGGCATTCCTTCAAAAGAATATCTGGGCATTCCTAAAATTCTGTCGCAAGGCCCAAAGACAAAGTACGTTGTACCAACACGGATCCTCAGTCAGTTCCAATTTTCCAGTACCACTTCTATATCTATGTAAGTGTCCTGTTTATTTAATTTATCATGTGTTATTTATATAAATTTTTTTTACCATTACGTGATAAGTGAGATTGACACTAAATTTGACATCGAGTAGTGCCGTAGAGGATCCCAACTGCGTTGCACCTGCTGCTTTGCCAACGGTTACTTTTGACTTTTGAGGTAAGCTGTGAAGATAGCGTCTTTTTATCTGGCAAAGAAAGTGGCTACAATCAAGGGATCGTCTTCGCTATATTTTCACTCGCTCCATCCAATCATGAATCATCCATGTTCTTCCACGCAGCTTCCAGCTTAGTGACAACCCTTACCTCTTCAGTTCTTCTGCCTCGTTTCATGCTCCTGTATATCGCGCAGAAGCAACCGAAAGACTTTTTTTTTTTTTTTTTTTTTTTTGTATCACCCTCTTTTTTATTGGAACTTGGGATGCAGTTTAGTTCTTTCTTTTTTATTTTTGGCAACCAAACCAAAAATGAAGTTCCTATGCTCTGTAATCTTTCTGTATCTATACAAGATGTAGCAAGTTATAAAAAATTAATCAAAATATTTTTCCTTAAATTCTTTAATTGGTTGCCAAGTAAAAACCTATATATACCCAGGTGCATTTTCATTCCATGGTTCTGTTATGATAGATTCTTGCATGTTTCTTTCACTTACTTTTACTCACCGAAATCTGGTGTAAGGTTCAATCAGGGCCTACATGTATAGACGACTCAAAGACTACTATTGCTCTTGCAACTTCAAATTGTGGAGAGAAGAAATTTTGCAAGCACCCTGAATCATGAACTTTCAGGACTGAAAAACTAGTAGTGTTATTTAGCCGGAAAAAACTAAATGTATCTAATTCTCAGGCTTCCTTTATCATTTATATCTTGGTAATGGTGCAAATTTGTATAATCTCTTTGGCCGATTGACCCCAAAAATGTTCCATTGACCAAGAAAATATGTTACCCATTTATGTTCATTGGACTTGTTCAAACTCAACTTGGTTATGGTAGACAACCAATATCATCCATGCAAATTGATTAGTGAACTCCACAATGATATGGAAGAATAAAATGACAGGACAATCAATCTCTCTTACTTTAGAAACAAAAAAAAAAAGAAAGATCATCTCTCAAGCACGATCTACCATTCTTAATTGTATTTGCATATCACATGAACCTCCACCAGTCCAAGATTAACGTTCTAATCAGTTCAAAACGTTGATGTTTGAGCTTAGCTGCTGTTTATATAAGAGCCTTCTCTTACTTGCCCTTGTGATCAACACTCGTAATTAATGTCCCTTCATATTTTTGGTTAAGGGCTCTTTTAACCTTCGTCTCAACTCAGCCTAATTCTCTATAGTTCCCTTGGGAATCAAACAAGTGCGAGAAATGTCTGCGAATAACATTGAGAGCAATGGAAAATCCGCCGTGAACATGGGGCAGCAACCAGCGCAGGCAGCTCCGGTGGCTGCTGTATTTAGTGCAGCCGGGCCGTGGTCAACTGGTTTATGTGGTTGCTTTGAAGAGACCTCCAATTGTAAGCACAATCATCAATATTCCCTCGAAGATACAAGTTCTAAACCTACAATACAATATATTTGTGAGCTTCAAATGTTGTTTAACCGTTGTATGATTTGTTCGTAGGCTGCGTGACCTGTTGCTGTCCCTGCATCACTTTCGGTAGGAATGTCGAAATAATTGACCAGGGAACCACATGTAAGTTCTTGAACATCCCTAGAGTTTATTTATCATCTCACTTTTTTGTAAAAATCAATGAGATTGAAAGATTTAACTATGAGTAAATCTTATATACACTGAAAATGTATACACTATAACCGTTGAATCCATGACATGTGTGTAAAAGTTGGAGTTTAAATTCAAATTTTGTATATTTGTTACTCATCCAGTGCCGACAGTGTATACACTGACACTATCAGTATAAGAAAGATTAGTTCTTTTAACTGTTAACAACACATTATTCAGAGGTATTAATTTCTGGATGTAATTTAGCCATATATAGGATAGGGTAACATTTCCCGATTGTACTATTATTGATCAGTTTTCTGATCTCTATTTTTACTTACGACGTGCCCGTGGGGGCTTAATGACGGGCAGCCTGTGCTCAAGCTGGGATCATATACTACTGCCTGGCGCATGTTGGGTGCGCATCATGTTACTCATGCACCTATCGTTCCAAACTAAGGGCTTACTTCAATCTCTCCGAAGACCCTTGTAACGATTGCCTTGTTCACTGCTTCTGCCTCCCTTGTGCTGTCTGCCAAGAGTATAGAGAGCTCAAGAATCGCGGCCTCGACCCCTCCCACGGTATACAACCCATACCTCATCATCCTTACCACACTATCTAGTCTCTGATATTATAGACTGAATTAACAATTGAATTATACATTCTTCAGATTAAAGTCCAACCTGTATATATGATCAAGATTGTCTTTCGTTCGATCATAACACTCCTATAGCTGTTTTTTTTTCTTTCTTGGTTTAAATCCTTCGATATTTTGTGGCTGGATTATGTTCCGACTAATTTAGAATCGAGCACTATCCTACATTTTTTCAGGAATGAATCTCCCGACATTATTTTTTTTCATATAAAAGTATACGGAGCGATTTCTTTATGTAATTTAGTACTTATATGTTGTTGATTAACAAATATGAAGGATGGATAGCAAATGTTGAGAGATGGAACCAACTGGCGGTCAGGACAACTGCGCCCCCAACTTTTGAAGCCGGGATGTATCGTTAGCCAGCTTTCAGGCCTTCGAGCACGGGATCCTTCTGCTTTTTAATTTGAATATTACTAGTATGATTAATGTACCATCAAGGATTCTAGCAATTGCATTAACACGATTGCTTTCTCGTTCATTACTAGTTTGTGTTTTGACTGTGCTTTGATTGTATTTATATCCATTTGTTTATCAAGAAAAGAAGAAAAAAAAAATATTATATTGAAGTATGTTCGCTTTAATTAGTATCAACAAATCTCAGTCCAAATTCTTTTGCTTGCATGATCTTTAGTTTACTCACTTTGAGTAAGGAATACCCTAAAGATTATGGCTTTGTTGTCTAAATTTTCTTGAAATTCATCTCACTTTAGTTCTTAAACTTCAACTCTGTACACTACTTTACTAAGCATATATAAAATCCATCACATGCATTTTAATCTTAAAATTTGAGGATATCTTGATTAGTGTAAATGGGATTATGAAATTATATTTGAAAATAAAAATTGTGACAGCCCCACCTTCCCCTAAGGCGAACCAAAGAGGTTAGCGGACTGTCTGCCCAACTCTCGCCAGGACTAACGGTGCAGTTTAGAGCGATCTATTTCGTTCTGGAACTTATAAACGCGCGTAAACAAGGCAAAAGGGCAAAATAACCCAAAATAAAAAAAAATGAAATTCGGAGTCGGTCATGAATAGTAACCAACCCGTCAGAACGCAACCAAATAACGAACAAACATTCACATCTTGAACTTTAGCAAATACAATCCAAAGTGACATACAAAAGTTGTCAAAAGTGAATATATACACGGTTTGCCAAATTGAAAGTGAAAACGGCCCTAAAGATACATTTAGGGTTTCACTTCATATACCATACAAAAAAAATATACATCTAGTTCATTCGGCAACCATCTATCAAGATTCATTCCAAAAAGAGTCATATTCCTGTAAGGAAAACAAAAGAAACGGTGTGAGCTAATTGCCCAGTGAGATACTATCACTTACGCAACCATGTGCACATAAGCATCAAACTTTCATTCAATATAGTAAAATAAGCAAAGGCACACGTCAAATATGGTGATAAAATGATACAGATGGCTCTCAAGAGCACTTTTCCTCATTTGCATTTCTTGATCGGACGTCATTGACTCTCCGTCAATGTTCAAAAATAACCAACCATAGACCCCACTTTACTTCCATTCCTTCCACCTAACATTCTCCAACCGGGCCCGAAATCCAAACACTTGCATTGTGGTATTACTCGAGTAAACCGGAATCGAGAGTCTCTCATACTACAAGATTCCATATAACATTACCCCAAGGCACATTAATTGGCACGACCAATCCCTCGCCGGCTCGATTCAATCAATTACCAATGGGGTTGAGCTCAAGGATAACAATTGTAGTCGTTGGAGACTCGTCCAAACGACACCAAGTCATGTATTTCATTTCATATAACATTTCATATAACATTCCAATAACTTTCCAACAACATGCGAAACAATAAGTGAAAGTGATAAAGTACACTCTCACTTCAATCAATTAACATTCAACATCTCAAGTTCAAGTATCAAAGTCATATAATAACACACAAGTGAGTAGTATACTCACCAAACTCGCAAATGTGGTTTCATGCACTTCCGTCAAAAGAACGTTGTGCACCACGGTCACGTCCTAAAACATGCAAACAAATACAATGAGACTCGATAATGAGTCATAAACCAAGGCCAAACATGACCACAATAGGGTTCCATAAGCATATACAAACATTAAAGGAAACCAGAAATTTTGGAAATGTAACTAGCTTTGGCCCTGAAAAAAAAAACAGTTTTTGTTCTCATTTTGCGGTAATGGCACCAATTTCACTACGATTATCGGATGAGGTTGCAAGACCCACCATTTCGAAGCTAAAAGACAGGGCTACAACATCACAGAAGGTCACTCAACCCAGTTTTGAGTGCAAACAGGTCAAAAATGCAAGATACTACATCAAAAACGTAAAACAGATTCACCAAAACGCATTCTAGCGGAAACATCATAACTCAGGCTCTACAAGTCCAAATCCAGAAATTCCAAAACCAGCTGAAAGCTAAGAAATAGGGCTAAATTTCATCAGAAGGCCTCAACAACCAATTCGGAAGCAATTCCAGCCAAAACAACCAATTACAGGCGCAATTCTTACATTCGGTAAAACCAGAACAGCAATAGTAATGTCGACTTTTCTCATTCTACACTACTCCGATTGACCTGAAATTTTGTAGGCACCTCTAAAATGTCATTCCCTACAACTTTCATGTCTTAAGCCAAGGCCAATTCGGCCTCTAACTAGGCGCTAAAAATTCAGGCAGAATTGAAGGGTATGAAACCCTAGTCTTCCAAATTTCCCTCCAAACCAAAAAGTGCTTGCAATTAACAATCATTTACACCTACTAGCCTCATTTTAGGCCATTGTCAATCATCATACAAGGCCACACCATCAAATTCATATATAAACAGAAAAATCACCAATAAATAGAAAACTTCTCCACTTCATCCAAAATCAAGAAATAAACCACAAAATTCAACATTTTAACTACCACTAAGCACAAATTAAGCTTCATTAGGTGAAGGAGAAGGTTCATTCACTACTCACCTAGTAAAACAAGAGAGGGAGAGTTGCTTGTCACCTTAGCTTCCCCAAACACTTCACCAAACAACTCACTAACACCTAATGAAGAGGTTTTATGGAGTAGAAACAAGTTTAAGTGATTGTTTTGGAGGATTTGAGCTAGATGGAAGCTAAAAACTTGAAGAGTTTTCTTGTTTTTGGAGCTTGAAGAGGTTGGCCAGGGAAGAGAAGAAAATGGTGAATTTTTGGTATTTTTTTTGATTTATTTGGTCAAATAGTAAAAAGGTGAATAGTTGTGGACAACTCAATCCAATCACATGGTGACACTTGTCACCTCATTTAAAGCATCTCTATCCTTTTGTTCCCTCTCACATCAATCACATCTCAACCTCTACTTATCTCTTAACACCCGATAAATTTCACCCAGTATCCGGAACTTAACCTAATTGGTCGAATTTTTCCGAACTTTTCGCACTAGCGGGTCCTACGTCCAATATATATCTTTAATTTTTCCAAAACTATCCAATACTAGAAAAATCATCTAAAAACTATATTTACTCATAAAATTCACCGAGAAAATTTTTCCTAAGCCAGAAAATGCAGAAAACATGCCATTAAGAGGGAAAACCCTAGGAAAAATATTAGGAAGAATTTACGGGTTCTCACAAAAATAGTAGATGATGCCATATTACGTATTTTAATCATACACAAAAAAACTGAAAATAAATTTACAATTTACATTTTGGTTCATCATTACGCTATTAACGTTGAGTCTTTTCGTGCCTATTCAAATGCAAAATCTAACAACTAAACTGGATTAAAAAAAAATGAAGGCGACAAAATTTAAATATTAAACGAGATGAGAAATTCTTTAGCTAAATGAGAAAAATTGGGTGGAAAAAACATTTTCCCATTTAGACCCATCTGTTTTTGGCTAAACCCCAATGCATTTCCATTTCATTTAAGCCAGCTAGTGCAACTCAATCAATTGGGCAACAATGTGAAAATGCAGAAATACAAAGGCAACATTACATAAGTTTTAGAAAGCGAAAAGAAATCAAGAAAGTTGTCATCAAGATGGAGAAATGCAAAGACACTATTTTTCAAAGGCTGAGAAAGAGGGAAGCAAGGAGTCTGACGGTGAATAAAGATACATTGCCTGCCTTTGATCAATTTTAAGGCAAAAAAGAACAAAAATCCTTCACCCCCCTCATCAATTGATATTGGATTCTCAAAGGCCTTTTTAATTCTACTAATTAAACTCATGGGGGGATTTAAACCTTATATCTCAATGCTTAAACCACAACGATGAAGGACTCAAAGTGAAAGCAAATTAGAATATGAACATTTTTTTATTGAGGAAAAAAATTATTGCAAAAGTATTTATAATTCACAAAAAAGCAAAAAAAAAAAAAAAGTTGGATAAATTGGAACCGGAGCAACAGGAAGCCCATCCACCTTGTGGTTGGCCCAATCTCGCTTTCCCCGCCACGAAGGTCCAGTTCCTCTCTTGCCGGTTAGCAAAGAAGAAGATTAATTCTGAAGAAACAAAACTCACCATCTCATTTATATCATCAAAACTCGAGATCTTAATAACCAGAGCAATCAAACAGATTTCTGCTCTTCAAACTAAATCTGCTTAATTCTTCTTCAAATATTTACTCTCTCCAATTGAAGACTCAAAATTTCACGCAAAATCCTTATATTATACACTGAAAAAGGGGAAAAAAAAAAATCATCCCTGGAAAATCTAATTATACAGAGAGAGTCAGATATTAATTGGAGCAAACAGCTTAGCTTTGAGGCCGATCAGCAATGGAAACCACGCAAGGTGGAACGGAGAGAGAGAAATCCAACTCGGCTTCTTCGGCTCCCGTTCCTGCTGTCGCCAGCTTCTGGAAAGGTACAACATTCTAATGCAGGAGTACTTTATAATCCTCTTTTCTTAGCAGCTCTTGTTTTTAGTTAAATGCAATTACTTGTATGGTTGATTTAATCAGAATTTTGGGATATCATTTTTTTAGTGAATTTTGTTATCATTCACTGAGTTTTAAGATTTATGTGAGAGTTCGAGAACAGATTGGTAATGTTAGTTAAATCCTGTAGTTTTTCTTATTAGTATAAGTTCTATTCAAACCTGGGGGATTTTTCAGTTAGAGATTTAACTCCTAGGTATAAGTTTGAAATGATTGAGTATCATTGGAAATTGGACAAGTTAGCGGAGGCGAATCAAGCTAGTATCAACAGTGCCTTGATAAAGGAGCAAGCGTGTGCTGCATTATTAGCTAGTATTTGGTTTGAGCCGTGTGTAAGTTTTGTGTTTTGTGTTTCTGGATCTAGTTCAGTGAGCAAAGTATGTGGCATGTGTCTGCTATGTTGGGTAATATCTCTCCGCATTATTAGTTTCAGAAGCTGATGAAGTGTCGCCAGGAGGAACTTAGTAATGGGTTAGTCTTTTATGCCCTAAGAGTGTGAAAATTTGTGTTAAATCTCCTGTTAAATGTGACATACATGTATACCATCCCATGTAAAATAATCTTTACACATTTTTGGTGTATGAAAGATTTGTGCTTTAACTTAGTTTTGCTCTAATTAGTAGGAATTTAATTAGAGAATATGGAAATATTTGCAAGAATTTTGTTAAACATGCCTAGCCACTTTTTTTACCTTACAACCTAATGAGGTAGTATCGGACAATATGTTCTGCTTCATTGGTGTTGCTATTTTCTTGCCTCACTGATATGTCATATTTTGCTATTTCAGACACTCCATGGTTAATGTATGAATGAAAAAAATGTTTCTAGTTCCTTGCATGTGAAATTACAGAGTTAAAAAGATTTGGATGTTTGTATTTGAATTTGAAGTAAAGATTCACTTTTATGGATCTGTATTGGCTGGGTTGTTGGAAAAACTTACACTTATAAATCATTTGATCATGCAGATTTTGATCTGGAGAAAGAACGAGCCATTCTGGATGAACAAGGGCTTAGGATTGCTGAGAATCAGGAGAACAGTCAGAAAAATCGTCGAAAGCTCGCTGAGAGTACTAGAGGTATTATACTTGCCAGGTCACTATTGTAGTCCCTGATGTTCAGTTTTAACTTATGTGAATGGTAGGAGATCCTTCTCCTATCGCTTGATCGGTGTAAATTGTTGGTGCTGCTAATATATCTTTTTTGATGACCTTTTCTGAAATTCTCTTCATATACTGTTGACAGACTTCAAGAAAGCTTCAAATGAAGAAAAGTTGAGTTTGTTTAACTCTTTACTCAAGGGATATCAAGAAGAAGTTGATAATCTTACCAAGAGGGCGAAATTTGGAGAAAATTCATTTCTTAACATTTATCAGAAGCTTTATGAAGCACCAGATCCTTATCCAGTTCTTGCTTCAATAGCAGTAAGTACAAGTTGTCTGTTCACTTTTCCTTGTTTGTCTTTTTCCTTGAGATTTTGTGAAGTATCATTCTGCTTTCCCATGTAGCTGAAGTCCATTTGTCTTTGAAGTTGAGTGCAGAAGATACTTGATGTCTCTCAACATGGAAAAGAACGTAGAATTTGAAATTAAAATCAGTTTGTCAAATTTGTCTGCCTTGCGGATAATGAGAGACGGAATAACGATCTCATGATTATGTTGCATAAAATTCATGCTTCATATCTTATTATTTTTCTTACTTCGCTGGCTTCCCTATGCAGAGTAATAGATAAGCCGCCAAAATAGCAGTTGGATTTACAGTGCAAGAAATTTAACTCCGATAACTACTACACCTTTTCAACAGCTGTCATGGAAATCATATGGACATCGTAGAGTGCATGAAATACCTAATATCTCACAGAAGGCTTCGTAAAAGATGTGATTTTTGAAAGCTTTCTTTGCTGCAAGATTAGTAACTTTTGAACACTTATCCAATCAATATGGAAGTTTACTAGTAAAAGGACTAAAATTAGCTTCCTAATTAACTTCTAGAAGTTGGGATACAAGCTTTGTACACCAAAGCTCCGCTGCATACTTTAACAAAGTTAAGCTGTTCTTCCTTTTAGCTAATTAGAATCATGTACCATGAAAGTTCTATTTCATCTCAATGTATGTTATTTGTATTAAGCACCAGGAAACAAAAGCTACTGCATACTATATCCTTCATAGAATTGATGAGGTCTTTGCATGACTGGAACCGATGGAACTGATGAGCTTGTGTCATAACCTAGCAGTCTTAAAAGACTCATTTCTAATGGATTAGTGATTGTTGTGATCATTCTGCAGGAGAAAGACTCAAAGCTGTCTGAACTAGAATCAGAGAACCGAAAGATGAAGGTTGAGCTTGAGGAATTCCGCACAGAGGCAACTCATCTGAAAAACCAACAGGCAACCATACGAAGACTTGAAGAGCGGACCCGCCAGTTAGAACAACAGGTTGGAATCTTTTTATATAATGTGGCATATGTTCCATTTTATGCTTTTTGAGCAAATGTGCATTGGTCTTTTAGGTTTTTTATTATTGAGCAATTGGTGTAAATTGAGGTTGACAAATCAGACTCTTCCTCCTCTTTTGCAATTTACTTTTATGTTCCTTTCTTCAGTCCATCTTTTGACTTCTTTCTGTGGACTTTCTACTTTTTGTGATACGATCTAGGATTGCTCTAATCGATATAATTATGGGTGGAAATCCTATTATACTTAGTTGTTCATACAGTGGTAGTTTTTTCTTCTTGTCACAATATCTAGTAAGCAATTGAAGTGTCTGGAGGAGAGCTTTCTAGAGTAAACCAGTTCAATTTCTACTTGTGATACTTTTTGCTGCGTCCAGGATTTTCTTTATCTTTCACAGCATTCAATATCTCCCTGTACTGTTAGCTTCCATATTTATTTTAATCTACAGTAAAGTCCTTTTTCATTATTCCTGTGATCAAGACTTGATACATAAGCTCCTGACTAATAGAGGATCTATGCTAGTGGATAATATGGCAGGTTTTTACACTTCATCACGGGGTGTATAGTCTAGTTTAATTTGGCTTTTTTGTGTGTGTGTGTGTGTGTTTTTTTGGTGCCTAATATAGATGTTTTTGTCCTGATCGTCTTTTTCTGCTGTAAATTTAGATGGAAGAAAAAGTAAAAGAAATCGTGGAGATTAAGCAACGTAGTTTGGCAGAAGAGAATCAAAAAACTATGGAGGTTTTGAAGGAAAGGTATTATCATCCTATAGAATCGCAAGCAGCTAGTGTATTAATGCAGTTGCTGATGTTAGTTTTTATGTCATGTCAAGGGAGTGTATTCCCCCCCCCCAACAAAAAAACAAAAAAAAAAAAGTTATTACTGCTTTATCCCTTGATGCAGGGAGCGGATGTTGCAAGATCAATTACGCCAAGCCCAAGACAGTGTCTCTACCATGCAAAAGTTGCATGAACTTGCACAGAGCCAGTTGTTTGAAGTTCGTGCACAATCAGGTTTTACTGGCCTGTCACAATTCATTAATCAAATGTAACAGAATGAGAGATGAAAGTTGGAAGATTGTTTTGGAAAATCCGTGAATATACTGTACCTAATGTTGAAGATTGTCCATTTCAGAGGAAGAGAGAGCAGCAAAACAATCAGAAGTCAATCTCTTGATGGACGAAGTTGAACGTGCACAATCACGGCTTCTTAGTCTTGAGAGGGAGAAGGTGTGTGACAGGATCCCCTCTTTGTTTTGAAAAAGATAAGACATCCTTTTATGTTAGTTTCAGCCACTAATATGGCATGTGTGTTTGGTTGGAGATTGTTCTTTTATCAAAATTTGGGTCAGTCTGGGCTTGTTTGAAGATTGACCACAGTTATCATCAGTTATTCATTTTCTGTTCATAGTAGGGGAATGGTGTAAAATGTTTTGTGATGCCATATTACACCATATATCATTATAGTAATTGAACCCACATTTATCCCATATAAATTCCCTGAAGAACAGTAGAAAATCAATAACATGACCGAGGATCCTCATGAATGTATCCAGAGTTACTTGCTGTGGTTACCATACTTGGTCCTTCATATTTGACACTGTTATAGCTGTTTCCTTACCACTCATCTTCCAGTTCGTTAGGAAGTTATCTTAGTCAGAGAGCTGATATGGTCTTGAAAGGGGTTTACTCAGCTGGCATTACATATTCTCAGCTTTGTAGTCATCTGACGGAATTCTTATGTTCCTGCAATTTAAATTGGTCAGTTTACATTCTCTTATACTGGAATTTGCTGCAGGGATTGTTACAGTCACAGTTACAAACATCAAATGAAGATAATGAGCAGAAGAAAAGGTGAATAGTTTTCCTTAAAGTATCTTTCTTTTGTTTTTTTGAGAATTATGTAATTCTTTTTATGTTATTAATGCGGGCCTTCCAATGATGTATAACTACTGTGTCAGAGAACTGGAATTGTTCTTCCTTTCTATTTTTTGATTTGAAGATTATCTGAGTACAGAAAAACAGACATAAATTATTTTGCTAATCAGGGAAGATTTGTTAGGTTTCAATACTGTCTCATCCTTGTTGTACTTACAGAGATTTATGTGCAAGTTGGATTATAACAAAAGCTTCCATTTATCAAAGTCACAGAATGCATACTGATTATTTTTTTGTTAAAGAGGTGATTGCCAGAGAAATGTGGAAATGGAGCAAAAGTGTTGTTAAGAATATAAGCTTGAATTATGCCACGATGCATAATTTTGTAGGTGTAAAACTTGATGTTAGTTAGGCCATAGTCAGACTGGAACGCACTGGTTGAGTAAGGACTTTAAAGTACCTATCAGTTGTGAAAATATTTAACATTCTCTTATTTTTGAAGTGCTTGGTGAAGATATATTGCTTCCCTACTGAATCCATACCTCTATGTTGTTGAGTAAACAATTGTTCCACTAAGACCTGGTCTAATATCGTCTTTTGCCTCTTTGCAGTGACAGCCTGGACGTCCATAGCATGCTTGAGAATTCTCTTAGTGCCAAGGAAAAGATAATCTCTGAATTAAATATGGAACTTCACAACCTTGAAACCACGTTAGCAAATGAGCGAGAGCAGCACATAAATGAAATGAAGAGATTGAATACTAAGCTTAATGAGAAGGTATGCCTGTTTTTCTTGACCCATCCCATCCCTGGGGCTATCCAATAATGTTTCCTTATGTGGTCTTGTTCCTGACTGAAATTTTGAAGTTTTTGATGATATACAGGACTGCAATTGTCAAGTAACCAAATAAGTTACAGATAGTTCCTTAATTTGAGGTCTAGTAGCTGATGTAATATTGCTTCCATGAATTCTTTAAGAGATAAAAGAGGACATGATTTCTGCATCCTCCTTTGGCTTGATTATAACTAATTGGTCTAGAAAAGGATTAACTCTGTTAATGATGAATTTGAGTGTGCTCTAATGCATGGAAAAATATATTTCTTGTACTTATGGAAGATTTGGAAGGGTACTATAACTTTCCCTTGGAAAAATATGATGAGAAATTTTATAATGCTAGTTCTATGACATACTATAAGTACACTTTTGCTTTTGGCAAGAATTTTCCTTTTAGAAGGGATGGGAGGTTGGAAGCTGGAAAGCCCCTAGGGAATGAGGCGTGGCAAGCAAGATTTGATCCCCTTCTTAAGATGGGGGAATCAAATCCATACCCTTTGGGTTATACCTAGTTCTTTGTTGGCCAGACTTATTATCAACTATGGGAACAAATATAATAGAAGTGGTTGGAGTTTTTTTTTTCTTTCTTTTTTTTTTCAAATTTTTAATGAGGATTGGTTTTCTTTTCATGTTTTTTGAGCTGGAAGTTGAAGAAATTGTATCACCGTCCTCTGTGAGAAACTGAGATCCAAGATTCAATAATTTAGCCTGGTCTTAATAGAATTCAAGGTTGTCATACACAATCTTAGATCTGTCCTTATTGCTATATATGCTCTTATCCCCGCACAGATTATTGTTCCTTGTCTTTAACTGTTTCATTTCCTTCTAAATAGTTTCTAATTGGTTCTGTGCCATAAAAGTTTTAGACTTAGGCCTTGTTGACCTATATTTGTCAAAATTTTCAAATTGGAGTCCTGTGATAGTTCTTCTATTTTTTCTGCACTCTAACCACCTTAGTGTTATAATTATGTTGGTATTAATTTTTGTATATCTTCCTTGCCTTCATACATCTTTTCTCTTTTGAACCTAAGGAAACTATTTTGGAGGAGATGAAAAAGGAGCTTCAGGCAAGGCCAACAGAAAAGTTAGTTGATGACTTGCGGAAAAAGGTCAAAATCTTGCAGGTACCTCACTCACTCTTACAACTCTATGTCATCCTTCAGGAACATTTTCAATTGAAAGACAGGCAGGAAAGGATAGGGTAGAGAACTCTTAAAATAGAAGGAAGGAATACGAGTAAATTGAGCATGACATAGTCGACGTGCTTTGATTTTCTCGTCTTGCTCCACTGCTTCATGTAAGCAATTGAAATTTGGATAATAAGGCATTGACCCTATCAAAGACTGGACATTTTTGTCAACGTCAGTCGAGCTCGAGTCAACGTATTCGAGCCTCTCGCGACCCGATTGACCGAGCTCAAGTCGAACTCGTATTCGAACCACTCGCGATCGGCTCACGAGCGGCTCGATTCGTGAACAGCCCTACTTGCAAGCACCTAAAGATAGTCCCTCTTTAATCATCATCTGTCATCAAGTTATCAGCAGTACAATTCTATAGATTAATCTTTTACAAAAGAAAAAAAAAAGTTAAATCATCAGTGTATTGCAGAACATACATTTAATAGTACAACACACCAATGCAGTAAATCATGCAATACTACTCAAGCCTATAATGTCACGCTGTGTCTGTAGACATTATACTTCCAGTTTAATATAATTGTGGCAATCTCGAACCGAGCAGTTGAGTGTGCTTGTATGAAGTATTCTGTGGCAGGATCACTTGGATGCTTTGCATCTTTAGACAAAATCACCTCAAAACCAACTAATTTGTGGAGCAAAGTTGAGTCTTTTCTAAGATCCTTCATCTTCTGTGACAATATCTGAGATGCACGTAAGGCAAATACATGACCAAACTGATGCAAAAGCAATTGGCAAATTTGCATATAAGCAACACCAAAGGGTAATGCAAGCTGACGTACCTCAATCACTTTGGTGCTACAGTACATGGCAAATAACGATTTAGGGCACACTGACGGAAACAATTCATCCAAAAGATCCTTGTAGCTCTTCGATGATATGCATATACATTTCGGACGCATTAAATGGCAGAGAGAAGAAAAGCGGATCTCACTCAGTTTTTCGTGAATAATCATGTTCTGCAGAAGCATTAAGAGTTAAACATGTCAAGAATAAATAAGAGAAACAATCCAGAAAAAATGCACAAATTGGATAACAAATAGGGTATCATATGCATCAAAAAATAAGCTCCGCCTTGATTTTCATTGCATATTCCAGATTAATTTATTCAATTGCCTTCTTACACAAATAGGAGGGCCAATTAACACATACAAGATACCAATTTGTTTGTTTTACATGAGTTTCTCTTATTAGGAATATGAAACCTATGAGCTTCATAAAATTTAATGGACGGTAGGTTAAGTTCCCATTTTCCATTTTTTCTGTATTTTGATGAAATTCTCCAATGAATTTCTCAATAATTCTGCAGTTGAACGCACTTGTAACGCTGCCTAACATAATTCTGAAGGAGTATTAATTGTTTCCAGGAGTCAGCCTACTGATGCAAGATGACCACAATGGTCCCTACTTAAAAATTGCCTTTAAGGAACTAAGCATCAAGTTGAAAAATCGAGATCAAAGACAATAAACTAGGAATAATTTAATGTTTCAAAAAGGACACATTTGTCTGAAGTTCAAGTCTAAGAATGTTAAAGGTGAATAACATACTTTTCTCATCTGTACAGATGGATTCAAGGCAATTAGAAAGTACATAGCAGTATGTATTCATCTTTTTTCTTTTGCATCCAAGAGAGACTCAAATACTACCAAACTGGTATAACATATCTGTTATGCAGAGATCCATGCCGGAACATGTGACTGGAGGTATCTGATCTCCAGAAACCTATGAAAATAGGCTCCAAAAATGAAAATGCAATATGCCCTTAAAAGCATAGCTGTGCACATGCACTTCTTCATTCTCAAGAAGTCAATAGCATTCTAAGGAAAGAAGAGGATAAAACTACTAAAGATCACAAAAGCTGAATAGGAATAGAAAAGAGTGTACCTTAGAACGATGATAGATGATAAACTTGAGATCCTGAAAAAACCTTAACTTCGACAAAAATTGATTCAGTTTAACCACCCAATCAACCGTTTTTCCACTAAGGGAAAATCTTAAGTGTATCTTGATATCATCTGAGGCTTTGATGGGAATGAAAGGATTGTCACAGTTGCAGCATTCAAAAAACTCTAAATTTGGAGTGTCAATTTCAGCACCTGAAAAGTGACGACAATCTCTAAAGGCCAGTCTCTTAAGCCTTTGGCTTGAAATTCTGATACTCCCCAACCCATGGCAACTTCGAAACTCTAAGACTTCAAGGGCCTGGATTTGAAATGTCAGCGCCTGGTGCCAAAAGTTAGCTGTGTCACCTGCCCCACTGAGTTTCAACTCCTTCAGTGCATTGCAAGTAGCCAGGTTAATACTTCTGGGCCAGTTTCCCAAGGATGGTGCAAACGAAAAAGTATGAAGATCAGACACATCCATCTGAACATTATCAATCCCATCACAGTACAGGAACTCAAAATACTTCAAGTGAGATAAACTTGAAACTGAGAGAAGTGTGTCCATCCATTTACAAAATGACACTTTCACATACTCTATCACGGGACACCCAGAGAGAATTTGGTGAAATAAAAACTTGTCAGTGAAACAAGAATGAGATAAAGAAAGCTTCTGTAGATGTGGAAGTTTGATATCCAATCCACTCTCAAATCTACAGCCACATAAGCTTAAAACTTTTAGCGAGCTAGCAAGCAAAACCGATTGCGGAACGCTATAAAAATATCTATCTGAGCCCGACAAACTATCAATACAAACAGCAAGTTCTGGAGCAGTCCTGTCTACTGCTATACCAATCCATTGGTCCATATTAGGCGTCAACAACTCCATATCAGGGAAGTCAATATACAATTGAAATCTTTGTATGCAAAAATCTAGTTGCAAGCGCCGACAGATGGAATTTCCAGCAAGAATCAAGAAATCATGTTTTCGCTTTTTTATATGCACGTCACAAAGAAATTGCTGTCGTTCTGTGACTGAATTATCATAGAAAAAGTGGAATACAAGATAAGGATAAGTGGACCAGGTGCGATTCCAAGTCTTTGACAATATTGCAGTAGAGGTAACATCTCTGGCACGCAGATAAGATAAAATGTGATGAATCACGGAATCAGGCAACCGTGAGATGAAGTCCAAAGGGGCAATCTCCAAACCAGATCTCTCCTGCTCACGTTCCTCTATTATTAACCAACAAAAGCGTACATTGACCAGTTAGAACTCAAATTTCATCATTCACTCATTTACAAACTAATTCCAACTCAAATATGCTGGATAATTAAAACAGAACTAATTAGAACTCAAACGTTCATCATTCATTCATAATTATACACTAATATGAACTGAAACGTGCTGGATTATCAAAGTTATGCGCTAATTTTAAACTCAAACAGTTCCTTATTTATTGACGATCATACACAAATTCGAACTCCAACGTGCTGATTCACTACAATTATATGCTAATCAAAATCAAAAGTCTTCATCCATTCATGATTATAAAGTAATCAGACTAAATGGTGTAGGATTATAACAATTAAGCAAATGAAGCATTTACAGAAAGAAAGTTCACAAAGAGTACCTGATTCCATGAAGGGCAACCCGGCAAAGACCTTGAATCCCGAAGGCGAAACTGATTATATCAGTAAATGTTATAAAGTTAGCGAGGAAATCAATTTAAATTAAGCAGGCCATAAGAAGATTGCAAATTCCAGCTGACTTTGCGAATTAAAATGTTGAGCAGAAAATAAAGCATGATCAAAAGGATAACCAAAAGTACCTGAAAATAATTAATAGCCTCTGTAATTTAGCCCCAATTCCCGGAACATGTAGACGACGGCAGCGAGAGAATAGAGACGCTAGATAGCGTGAAGCTGTGAATATACGCAGTTAAGTGGCAGGCTGCTAGTTTCTTTCATTAGTTTTCCTTAACAAAATATTTTTGGCTCTGTTTGGATTGACTATTTTGAGAATATTTTTGAAATATTTTACTACAACCGTGTATCTAAAAAATTGTTACGATAAATTTTTTTTGTAATGTTTTTGAGGGAGTTTGAAATATATTCTAAGATACCTTTTAAAATTAAAATATTTTTAAGATGCCTTTTAAAAATTAATACTATCACTCACAACTACCAATACCACCTCCACCCACCATCGCCACCACCCACTCCTTTCTCCTTTCTTTTCTCTTTCCCTCTTCCCCCTTCCCTCCCTCCCTCAATCTAGCCGTGACCAAAGGCTGCGATCTGGTCGCAGCCAGAAAGTTGTGACCTTCTAACAGCGACTAGATTGCAGCCTCTAGTCGCAACCTATGTTTTCAGAAATCGAACCGGGTATTGACTCGATCAAATTCAGGGGTCAGGGGTCAATGGGTTCAATCGGGTTCAATAGGCGTTGAACCGGATGACGTCATAAATAAAAATTATTTAAAAATTAAATATTATATGTAAAATACCTAATAACATGTTAATATTAATAAAGGTATATTCATATATATTTGATGTTTTAAATATATTTAATAAGAAAATACAAAAAAATTAGAACAATCAAGTAACAAATTATATTATTTAATGAGCATTAACAAGTTTAGAATTAGAATTATGGACTTTAATTGAAAAATAATACCAAACTTTAAGAAAATATTGATAAAGTATGAAATATTTGAAATATTTTAATAATTTTTAACAATCTAGGGATCAAAACATAATGTTGAAAAAGTTTTATTTTTTTTTTAAATGTTAATTGAACCAAAAAATCCGATTTTTTCCCGGTCAAACCCGATTTTTTACCGGATTTTTACTTACCCGATTTTTAAGCATAACTTGGACAGGACACTTGACCGGTTCCCGGTTCGATCGATCGAACCGGCCAGTCCGGTCCGAGTTTTAAAACACATGCACTCGCAACCAGACGCCTTGATCTGGTCTCGAGAAATTGAGGAAGGAAGAAATGGGAGGGGTGGCGGGAAAGGAGAGGGGAAGAGGAAGTGGGAAGGGAGAAGGGGTGGAGGAACAGGGAGAGAGAGAAGAAAGGAGGAGGGAGGGAATAAGGGTAGTGGTGGTGGGCAGGGATGGTGGCGGTAGTGGGCAGAGATGGTGGCGGTGGTGGGTAGTGGTGATGGGTGGAAAATGTTATATAATTTATTTTTTAAAATTTTTTGTGTATATTTTTGAGTTATTTTTTATATATTATATGGATGAAATGTTTTTGAATTATTTTTATTTGTCTATTATTCTGGCATTATATTTAATAACCTCTTTTGAAAAATAGATTTTTGGATTTTTAGTAGAAAAAATATACTATATTAATTTGATGTATGTGAGATAAAAATAAGTATTTGAAAAATATGATCATGAAAAATATAAAAAAAAATTCTGCAAAAAAACTTCAAGGAATTTCTGTAAAAAAAAAAATCCAAAATCCTAATTTTTTTGACTTTTGTTTTTAGAAAAGGAAAAAGTGAAATGAGTTGTACGAAAGCCAAAAAGCAATTAAATTGATAACTTCTTTTCATATGAATATATGATGTTAAGTATTTTATTTACTCACAAAAACTATAATTTTGGTTTAAGAAAAGCAATACCTAATAAAATTGTAAAATGAGAACGGTAACAAAGATTATAGGGCCTGTTTGGAAGTCTAGTTTTTTAGCAAGTTTGTATTATACTAAATTTTTAACAACTTTTGCTACAGGAACCCCAAAAACTTATCAAAATTTTTAACCTACACACTTAAAATATCTAAAACAAAAAAAAAAATCCCTTCTCCTTTTCTTCTTCTTCCTCCCCCACCACCACCTCCATCGCCGGCCACCACCTCCGCCGTCGGTTCCGGCGCCGATCACCTCTTCTGGTGCCGGTCTTCTTTTTTTTTTTTTCCTTTTTCCCTCTCCCCCTCTTCCTCCCCTGCCATCCTCCCCTCTATCTTTTTTTTTCTCCCTGCGTCTCCCCTACTCCTCCCCCACCACCCTTCCTCTTCCCCTCTGGACGATCTGGTCGCGAGACCAGATCGCACCGGGGGAGGGGTGAGGGTGGCGGGGGAAGGGGCGAAGAGGGGGAGAAGGAAACTTGCCTAAAAAAAAAATCATTTCGCTGCTTCATCTGCCGGCAAGAGCAAGGAGAGGAGAGGGAGAGGGAAAATGTGAAAAAAGAAAGAAATCAGGCATAGTGAGAAGCGGGAAGGGGCAGAGGGGGTGGCGCGGGGAGGGGAGGAAAGGGATGGTGGGCAGAGGGGGTGGCGAGGGAGGGAGTGGGAGGGGTGATGGGCCAAGGGGAGTGGCGGGCAGAGGGGGAAGGAAAGGGATGGTAGGCAGAGGGCAGTAGTGGGGGCAAGGGGAGGAAAAGGGTGGCAGGAGGGAGGGGGGAGAGGAGAAAAAAAAAGTTTGTATGTGTTTGCAGAGGCAGTTTTGGAAGAGGGACCAGGAGAGGGGGAAGGGAGGAAGGAAAGAAAGAAAGAAAAAGAAAAAAGAAAAAGAAAGAAAGAAAAAGGAAAAGATTTCAAAAAAAAATTTTCATCTTACAAAAGTTTTTTTACAACTTCTCTAGTGATCTACAATAAAGTTTTGTATAAACACCCAAAAAACTCACCTTCCAAACAGACCCATAGTCTAAAGTACTCGTTTGATAGACTAGAGCAATTTGGCGTTTCATTGGTACGCTTCAAATTAGGGATGTCAACGGGGCGGGGTTGGGCCGGAGGACCCCTCTCCCATCCCCCGCCCCACTGCCTACAAACTCCCCCCGTCCCCACCCCATCCCCCGTCCCACGCTCCCCCCGTCCCGTCCTGTTTCCCCCGCGGGGCTAATAAAAATTTGTTATATAATTTTATTATGATTAAATTTTAGCAAATAATCAAGTACTAAAATATCAACACATCATCAAATTATTATTCATTGTAATTTTACAATTGAAACTTATAAAAACAATCAAACAAAAATTATTTGAATACAATCCAACATGATGAAATAAATATAACTAAAGTAATCAAGTTTTCACTTTTGGCACAAATACAATCACTAAATCATTATTGTACTTGTGCTTTTTTTAAGAAAAAAATGTTATTGTATTAAGTGTAATTAGGGATTTAGTATAAATGTATTAGTAAATTTAGTATAACCAATTAATAATTCGTATTAGTACACATATATAATTATTAGTATAATTAATAATATCAATTATATTATATATACTAATAGACATCATATAATACATATAACTAATAATATTATTATCATAAGTTTGTAACTAATTAAATTATATATTATATATAATTATATACATATATTTTATATATTTATTTTTTTAAAGCGGGTGGCGGGGTGGGGGATGGGGCGGGGATACACTCCCCCGCCCCGTTTCTAAGCGGGGGGGGGAGGGGAAATTCTCCCCACCGGCCCACCCCCCTTCCCAACCCCCTCCCCATTAGCCCCCATGGGGCGGGTGCCCGTAACCCACCCTCATTGCCATCCCTACTTCAAATGCACACTATCAAGCAGGTATCTGGACGCTTGGCTATGCAACTTGAACAATCATCACATGTAGAGCTGACTTTATTCTAGTATTTTATATGAAAATATGTACTCAATTAGCTTGAAGTGAATTAAATCATGATTGTCAGCATTTTAAACTTTTGATTGTGAAGGCCTTAATTGTTTGACAACTCCCATGATTATTTTGGCTAAACTACTCAAGTCGCCTCGTTATACTTTAAAAAAAAATCTCAATTCAATCTTTAACACTAAGAAGTGACTTGATTTAATCCCTTGGAAATAACTCATGTCATTTTTATATTGAATTAGTAGACAAAAGATTTAATCGTGCATTTCCAATATAACGGGGTCTATGTGTTATACTAACGATATATTGTTGTCATCGTCAGATCAGACTATGTGCTAAGTTTTTGAATTCCAATTCTTTCAGCCAAGGTGATGTCCAAACAACAAAAAATTCTTAAAGGCTTGACAGTGGCCATCAGCCTTTAAGACTTGGTGGGGTGGAAAACAAGGGTTCAAACCTTACCTTTCACGAATTGTCAGATTAAAATGTGAATTTGCTTCAAAAAATCTAGGCAGGTGCGTAGTGTACTTGTTTGGTCTGATGGTGGTTCAACGTGAATTTACTTCAAAATATTCAGGCGGGTGCGTAGTGCACCCATTTGGTCCGATAATAGTTCAGTTCCCTCCGAATTACCCCTGGATCTCCTTAGATCCACCCCTTCCCAAGTGTAGGATAGATTAGGATATACTACAGTTGTTGTCTCCAGAAAAAAAAAATAAAATATCTTAAAAGACATCTAATAAAGAGATTACCAAGTACCCATGTTATTGTTTAAACAATATTAGAAGTATGTTTTCATAAACAGCATTTTATTTGGGTTGAAATCAAATCAACACATATATGCTTTTTAACATTGATTTGGTCTGAAACCAAACATCTTGTTGGCAAGGTCGTAAGTAACCTGAAACCCCTGCTGCTGCGTGTTGCCGATTATTGAGACACTTTGAGAAGTGGTCTTAAAAGCCAAACAGAACGTGCCGCCGGAACCAGCACGAAACAGGTAATTTTGAGGTTTCAGCGGCAACGTCTTGCCTCCGAAGAACTGAAACGATATCATTGGGAAGCCATCTCTGGTGGGCATAGAGGATAGATCATAACAAGTGTCGAGATCACCGACCGCACCGGCGGGAGGCAAGTTTTTAGCGTACTTAACAAAGGTGTCTCGGACCGAGTTATATACCTGAGCTGGCAACGCCGATATGGTGGTACCCGAGTCAACGATGATCCCCCCACGCCTATCTTCTCCTATTTGATAATCCGATGCAGGAATGGGCATTTGTTCTCCATTAATAGTGATCCCCGTGAGTTCCACGTAGTAATAAATCTCAGATTTTAGGTTCATAATCAAAGGAATGAGGATTGAGTCACCGGGTGGAGCTGAGTTAAACTCAAGAGTTGAGGACGAGCTGGAGTCCAAATCCACGAGGTAGTAGGAGAAAGACTTCGCTTGAATTTGAGAAGGAATGCCTACTGCAGTGCCCCCAAGGCCAAGTATGCCAGCTGCCTTGCCAAATCGGCCTTGATTCTCATGCCCGCACCCGATAGCCACTTTCTGGACCGAACCCGAACTCCCGAACGACACCGTTTCAGTGGCAAATTCTCCAATACTGGCGGAATTATCCCAGTACAACGCTTCATAGATGCAAGCTTTGTTTCGGCCGCACTTGTAATTCGGGCTCAAGGAGGTGCACTGCTGCGATGTGCAGGATAAAGGGCTGTAAGATGAGGATCCGGTGGGTCGAAGATTGGATCGGGTTGGGCGTAGCATGAATCGCAGGGTAGGTGTGGTGGGCTCCAGGAGCACATCGGTCAGGTCCACACACACGTCGGTCCGGCCCAAGAGCTCGGACAGGAGGAGCTGGGCTAGGGCGCCATGTCGGCTCACAGGTCCATACGAGCGCCGCCCCTCAAGCTGATGGGCCTGATGGGCCGCGAGGTCCGCGCCTTCAAGACCATGTCATGGAGCCCTAGGAGCCGTTTTCCTCCCCTGTAAGGACTCCTTGTCCTACCAGGAAACTACCACCTTGCGTTCTATAAATACCATGCCAAGAAGAAACATAAGGTACGCTATTCATAGTGCAATCTCTACTCTTTTTACTTACGAGCTCGTTCTGACTTGATCGTCGGAGTTGCTCCAGGGGACTTAGCCCCACAGCTCGTTCACGTGCAGGTCAGACGTCCAAACAGCTCGTCCTGCCGAACCCAGCTCAGTTCGGATCTTCACTTCGGCAGTCGCATCAATTGGCGCCGTCTGTGGGAAACGTTTTCTTCTCTTTTTTCGCGAACAACATGCCGAAGACTAGGTCTCAGAGGAATGTGGATGGTACTGAGGGGGGCGCTCAGGGCGGCCCCCAACCAGTTCACCAGGAAGCCAACACAGGGGAGGCAAGGGTCGAGCTCTCGCAGATCTCGCCGGAACAACTGGTGCAGTCGGTGGCCGCGAACTTGCCTACCTTTGAGGCTATTGTGACGTACCTGAAGGGACAATCTGGACAATCCGGTGCGGTGAAGGGACAATCTGGAGTCCCTCCCAGTGCGGAGCGTCGGGTGCGAAAAACGGGCAGAACAGGGAGTTCGGAATCTCGATCTGGAAGCCCCAGGTCGAAGAGGGCGCGGAGGGAGATTACACGCGAGCAGGTCCAGGTGCCAGAGCCCTCTCACAAGAATTCCCGAACTAGCCATCCGGAGCCCGTTCTGAGGCCTTCTCGGATGGAGATCCCTCACAGGAAGGAGGATTACCAGGTCCAGGATGAACTGGACCTCCTGCTGGATCCGGAGGCGGATAGGTACACTGCCTCTCCCTTCATACCTGATATCGAGGATTACCCTCTGCCTGCCAAGTTCAAAATACCATCCATGAAGTCCTACGACGCGACCACTGATCCGGAGGATCACTTGTTCGCGTTCCTGACTCAGATGCGCCTTCAGACAGCTGCTGATGCGGTCAGGTGCAAGACCTTTTCGATGTTCTTGGAAGGAAAGGCCCGACAATGGTTTCAGGGCCTGCCTCCTAGGTCAGTTCGGTCGTTCAGCCAGCTCGCGCGGCTGTTCGCGGCCCAGTTCGTTTCCTCCCGCGCTTATTCCAAAACCACGGCTCATCTGATGACTGTTCATCAGGGGCCCGAGGAGTCATTGCGTGAGTATATGGTACGGTTTAACAACGAATCCCTTCAGGTGCGGGACCGAGATGACAAGGTGGTGATGGCTGCCTTCGTCAACGGGTTGCGCAAGCAGAAGTTGTATACGGAATTCGTAGAAAGACCTCCCAAGTCCGTCCGGGAGATGCTAGATCGAGCCCACGAGAAGGCGAACGCCGAGGAGGCCAACCGTCTGAAGGGCGCCCAGGAAAGGTTGCGGGATGACAAGCGGAGGAAGGGTGCCGACCCGGGAGAGTCACGGCCAGGTCAGGACCGAAAGGGCGTATCCGAGCGCTTACCTCGGAGCCGACCTTGGGAGAAGGAAAAGTCCTGGACTTCGCTCACCGCGCCCAGGGCTCGGGTTCTGGCCGTGATGGAACAGCAAGGGATTTCTCGTCCTCCTCGGCCGCTGGGGGGCGACAAGACCCAGCGAGATCAAGGTTTGTATTGTGCTTACCACAGTTATGTCGGACACGATACTGAGGACTGTCGACACCTTAAGAAGGAGATCGAAAAACTGATACGAAGAGGTCATCTCGGACAGTTCGTCCGTGACGGGCGAACGGACCAGAAGCCGGGAGGGTACAAGCGAGATCGGACGGCCAGTTCGCACGACCGACCTCGAGGTCCTAGTGATCGTACTCCGGAGCAGGGGGTTCAGAACCTAGCTGGAGTAATCAACACTATTGCAGGGGGACCTGCTGGAGGAGATAGCCACACGGCTCGACGAAATAACCGACCTCCCCCTAGCGGAGAAAGCTCGAGCAAACGTTTGAAGATGTACGAGAAAATCATCTACGGGCCAGAGGACGCGGTACCCTTAGCCTCTAATAATCATGAGGCGATCGTGGTAGAAGTTATCACGTGCAACTATAAGGTAAAGAAGGTGTACATCGATAATGGGAGTGCCATCGATGTGCTGTATTACAAAACCTTCAAGGAATTGCAGCTAGAAGACAAGCAGCTCATCCCAGTTCGGACCCCCTTGATAGGTTTTGCAGGGCCGCCGGTTAGACCAGAGGGAATGATAACCCTCATGGTCACGGTAGGGGAGTCACCGAAGTGCCGAACTATCCCGGTGAATTTCGCGGTAGTGAAGGAGCCGTCTTCTTACAATATGATACTAGGGCGATCAACCCTCAACGCTCTCCGAGCTGTCTGCTCGACCCTACACCTTAGTATGAAATTCCCGACGCCTGAGGGGGTGGCCGAGGTGTTGGGGGACCCGGAGGTAGCTCGAGCCTGTTACATTGCAACCCTCAAAGGTAAAGAGAAACTGGTGGCCCAAATGACCTGTCTGGAGCCCTGGGAGCCTGCTGAAAAGGAGGAAAGGTTGGAGACGGATGAGAGTCTGATCGAATTGTCGATCTACCCCGAGCGAACTGATCGCGTGGTAAAAACCGGAGCTGGTCTGAGCGAGCTGACACGGAGAGCTCTGGAGTCTTTGCTGGAGGAATATGCCGAGATTTTCGCATGGAGTGCTGACGACATGCCCGGAGTCCCTCCCGAGCTGGCAGTTCACAAGTTGCACGTTGACCCAAACATCCGGCTAGTGAAGCAAAAGAAGAGGAACTTCGCTCCTGAGCGCAACGAGGTCGTCAAGGAAGAGGTAGGAAAGTTGTTGGAGGCCAAAATTGTGAAGGAGATCTACTATCCGACCTGGCTGGCCAACCCTGTGCTGATCAAAAAGGAGGACAGGGCCTGGAGGATGTGCGTAGATTTCACCGACCTGAACAAGGCCTGTCCGAAGGATTGTTACCCCCTCCCTCGCATCGACCAGCTAGTCGACTCGACCACTGGATACGAGATCTTCTGCTTTCTGGATGCCTTCAAGGGGTATCACCAGATAGCTCTGGACGAGGCCGACCAGGAGAAGACTGCCTTCATCACCGAATACGGTACGTATTGTTATATCACTATGCCATTTGGATTAAAAAATGCAGGCGCGACCTATCAACGGCTGGTCAACAAGCTGTTTAAAAACCAGATCGGCCGAAATATGGAGGTGTACGTAGATGACATGCTGGTGAAAAGCCGAACTCAGGAGCAGTTCATCAACGACCTAAGAGAAATCTTTGACGTCCTGCGGAGCTCGCGGATGCGGCTGAACCCCAAGAAGTGCACCTTCGGGGTTAGGTCGGGCAAGTTCCTGGGGTACATGATATCCAAGGACGGGGTAAGAGCTAATCCCGACAAGGTGAAAGCTATCATGGACATGGCTCCTCCCCGAAACGTAAAAGAGGTCCAGCGGCTAGCTGGCAGGATGGCGGCCCTGAACAGGTTCCTGTCGAAGTCAGCCGTTCGGGGTTCCCCCTTCTTCAGGGCCCTGCGAAGAGGTCCCCAGTTCGAATGGACTCCCGAGTGCCAGCGCGCGTTTGACGAACTCAAAACCCACATCGCACGCTTGCCAGCTTTGACTTCTCCCGCACAAGGAGAAGTCTTATTCATCTATCTAGCAGTTGGGGAGGAGGCGATCAGTGCGGTACTAGTTCGGGAAGAAGGTAAAATCCAAAAACCCATATACTATGTCAGTCGAGCTTTGCAGGGGGCGGAGCAAAGGTACACCTCAATTGAGCGGTATATTCTAGCATTGGTGCACGCGACCCGGAAGCTCAGGTCGTACTTGCAAACTCACCCCGTGGTGGTCATGACCGACCAACCTCTCAAGCAAATTCTCTCAAAGCCTGAGGCATCAGGAAGAATGGTAAGGTGGGCCGTGGAGCTGTCTGCATACGATCTCAGCTACCAACCCCGCACGGCCATTAAGGCTCAAGCATTGGCGGAGTTCATAGCCGAAGGAATCTCCTTTGGGCAAGAGCAGTTGCAAGCCGAGCTAACCAGCGGCGCAGTCAAGGCTGTGCAGGCCAGAGGAACTGTCGAGGTCGCGCAGGCCGCCGAGACCAAGTCGACCCAAGACGTAGCTGAGGCCAAGCAGGTCGGAGAAGCTGCCGAGGTCGTGAAAGGCACTCAGACTTCCATGGCTGAACAGACCATAGGCGCAGTCGAGGCCAAGCAGGCCGAGGGACCCACCGGGGTCGGACAGGCCGCAAAGGAAGCCAAGGCCGAACAGGTTAAAGAGGCTGTTGAGGCTGAACAGGCCACAAAGGAAGCCAAGGCCGAACAGGTCAAAGAGGCTGTCGAGGCTGAACAGGCCACGGGCCAGGCCGATCAGACCATCCCGACCTGGACACTGTTCGTGGATGGATCTTCAAGCAAGGACGGATGCGGAGCGGGACTTTTCCTGACCAGCCCCTTGGGGGATGAGTTGGCCTACGCCCTGAGATTCGATTTCAGAGCCTCCAACAATGAGTCCGAATATGAGACTCTGATCGCGGGGATGATGATAGCCCGGAAGCTGGGGGCTGAGTCAATAGAAGTCTACAGCGACTCACAGCTGATAGTCAACCAGGTCGGGGGAAGTTACGAAGTTAAAGAGGAGCCCTTGAGGAGGTACGTTGCCAAAGTACGGGAGCTGGAAGCTCAGTTCAAATTTTTCACGCTCAAGCAGGTGCCGCGAAGCCAAAATAAGAGGGCGGATGCACTGTCCAAACTAGCCTCCACCTCGGTCGGCACGTTGAACAAAGAGGTCTTGGTTGAGGTCGTTCGAAGTCGGGCGTATGACCAGGTAGAT